TTGGATCTGTTGACGCTGCGGATGCGCTTTTCGGGGCTGCGATGGAATAGCTCAGGTTCGTCGTAGAAGCATCATACTTAGCACCAAGATACTCTGGATATGAGATGTTATATCTGCATAAATGCGTTTGTCGATTAACAAGATGCTCATATTACAGTTCTCAATTATGGGGAGTCAAAACAGTTCCAAAACCTACCCAGACGTAGCGGTGACTGGAGTCAATGAATCCTGGGGACGTCCTAGCAGTGGATATACAAATCCGGTGTCCGGGACGGAAGCCATCAGGGAGAGCCCCATATGCTCTCCTGTGTAGAACATGGGCCATGAGGACCACGGTTCCTTTCTGGCATTGGCGAGCCAGGTACTAAGATAAGGGTTCCGGACGATCAACGGCAAAATTGGAGGAGTAAGACGGGAGGCTGCGACTAGAAAGGAGTGGAAGATGGCGGCCCCTAGGAGGGGACAAAGCAGCCATCGCATGGCGGGCGCTTCACCAGGAAACAGCAGTTAAAGGATAGCAGCTATATAGAGGTGCCGGGCAACGAACGAGGCGTCTAGGGATAAGAAGAGGGTCCAGCTAGCATTGAGATGAAACTAATGGAGGAGAAAGAGGGGAGAGGGAAGAACGAATGAATAGGACAAGGAGCAGTTTATGAATAGAGGGAACAACGGTCGGAGGGAGTGTGGAGAAGTCAAAAGGTTGGTCTGCGGTTGCTGTGGATGTTTGGAGGCAGGAGGGCAGCAATGAGGTCATGTGGAACAGTCAGGCTGAGCCGCTATGCTATCCCTGGGCAGCGCCAATAGCGAATAGTTAAACTAACTACTACGCCAGCATGATTAGTTGTCGTCTGCTCCCATTCCCATTTATATGTCTATCGATACAGCCAACCGAGAGAACGGGGGGGAATGACCGAAAGACCAAAGGACTGAGTGGACTGGAGCGGACGAGGGAGAGGAGAGAGACGAGGAGAAAGGGGGGGGGCAGCATACACAGTCAGCGTTGGAATAATAATCCCTCTTTCCCTGCCGCCACTCGACACCACAGCCAACCAAAATAAATAAATAGCTAACTACAAGAACATAATAAACTACAGAGTGAATTTACCAGGTTAAAGCTGCCTAACTACAACACCCTCCCTCACATCACAGCTATCTTGGATAAAGGAAGAACCGGCAGAGTCGATTTCTAATGCATCATGGAATCATAGAGTCCTTGGAGATAAAGAGACCGCCGCCCATCGATGTTCTGTTTGCTGGTTGCAGCCCCTCCAAATAGCAGCCACTGGAATCATCGATCGGCACCAACGATACCTCCTCTCAATCATTGGCTTGCTACTCTATGTGGAGATTCCAAAACCAACCAATTGACTCTTGTGGGGCCCTGTGGGGCCACCAGCGCCGTGGCTTGGGGGCTGGGGACTGGACAAATCAAAAAACAAATGTTAATTGAGAGTCGGTATCCGGAAATCCAAACCGCTTAGCTAACTCGAGAATATCAAGATCGACTCCGATCTCCATGTTTGAAGGAACTACTACTGCTCGACTACTCGACTACTCAGGACGGCATCGTATATTGCTAACACCCATAATCATTTCAAAATCAATGAGAAGCAAACTGTTAGGTCGTTATGGATATGTATCACCTTACCATTCTTGATCGCGTGCCAGGAAGTCGTTCATGTAATAGCTTCGGAGCTCTAATACTCGATGTAATGCAAAGATAACTAGTTGACTACTTGAGGAGACTGGAAAACGGGCGACTGGTGATAATAAGGATCTACAAAAAAGTATCATCATTGACAAGTATGTGATTGGACAATTGGTCAGTCTACAAAGTAATGACTGGAACCCCGCCCTGGTTTCCCCCCTATTTTATTAGCCTGTGGTGCATCCGTCATATTGCAAAAACATGAGGTGACAGGAGCTGCACGCATCGAGTGGAGTGGTGGTCAGAACCAAGATCGGCATGCATGCGTGGCACGAGATCTGCCAAAATGACAACCTGGGAAGACATTGACAGCTTCCCTTCAATTCGCCTCCATCTGACAGAAAAAGCAAAACCATGGACTGCAACATCTGGACTCTGGGCTCTAAACTCTAGGCCCTATCCAGTCTTACCCGTGGGAATGTTGAAGAAAACAGCCGGTTTCCCCTCTTTATACGGCCGATCCAATCTAAAATATCCCTTCCGCTCAAACTGAATAATATCCCCCTCCGCAAGGCCAGCAACGTTACAATCTGCAAACGCCTCAGACCGGAACTCCGTCTTAGACGTCAAGAAGTCATGAATATCCTCGTCCTTCTCGATTTTATCCTTGGAAATGATATAGTCAAAATCCACAAGTTCAACGGGAACAAGTTCCTGCCCCTCCTCCGCCAACCATGTGACCTTCTTATCCGTCTTCTTGACATCCCCTGCCAGATGCAACTCTAGTTCCAGGCTGCTGATTTTACCATCAGACATTGGGTCGCTGGTGATCTTGCGCACAAACGTGTTGCCCCAGTTCATCAGCGTAATCTCCTCGTCCTTCTGGAATGTGGCGGCGTCCACCTGTTCCAGAAGAATTTTAGAGCTGTAGATCACCTTCTTGGTACCTAGTTCTGGGTTCTTGATGTGCTTTGGTTTATCGGCAGTCTGCACACCTTCAATCCCTTTTACGGTGACGCGCACCACGTCCTGCTTCTCAATGGCGGTATGGCGCGGGGCCACAGGGTCGATATACTTGCGGTTAGTCGCCCAGAAAAGAGTCCAGTCCAGGTTAACAACGTTCCTGCTGGGCCCTTGCTTCAGGATGAACTCGCGCAGGGCGGGTACTGTCATACCACGTCGTCTGATTCCGCGAATGGTCGGCATGCGTGGGTCGTCCCAGCCCCATACAACCCCCTCCTCGACCAATTTTGTGAGCTTTCTCTTAGACAACACAGCCCGGATGAAGTTGACACGGGAGAAGTCCCAAATGTGAACTTTCCGGATGCCAAGGGCTTCCTGCATCCACACATACTGTGCATTCCGGTCACCATACTCAGTTGTTCGCAGTGCGTGGGTCACGCCCTCTAGAGAATCCAGGATGGGCACGCAGAAATCGTACGTTGGATAGATTTTCCATGTAGTGCCAGTTCGGTGGTGTGGCTCCAAGTTGCAGCGGTAGATGACGGGGTCCCTTAGTGCCTTGTTCAAGTCGTCAATTGAGATCTTCGCACGAATACACCACCGCTGACCCTCCTCTGAGCCTGTTTTCATTTCAGCAAATCGTGCCAAGTTGTCCTCAATGCTTTCGTTACGGCGCTTGCTCTCGATGCCGTTGAACCGCTCCTCCTGCATCACCTCCTTCGCGGTGTCATCGGCATAGGCTTTCCCAGCCTTGATAATTTGGATGCAGTATTCATACATTTCCTGGAAATAATCACTTGAAAAGGAGGTTTTGTCTGGGTAAATGCCCAACAGGGATAAATCATGCTTGATCGCGTCCTCGAATTCCTGATTCTCCTTGGAAGGATTGGTGTCATCGAAGCGGCAAATCAAGGTTCCCTTGTTCTGCTCATGGGCGAAATAATCATTAAGAAGTGCTGCTTTGGCATGCCCGATATGCAGGTATCCCGAAGGCTCTGGTGGGAAACGAGTAACAACTCCATTCTCCACATTCTGTAGACCGATGTTGTAGCTTGCACCGGCCGCACTTGCAGCAGCCTTTCTCTTCTGAGCGCTAGCGCTTAACTCAGCCACAGCAATGTTTACCCACGGATATGAGGCTTCGATAAACGAGAACCAACGGCTTGTATTTGTAGCTGCCTTCCGGATGGCCGATATGGCAATTCTGTTTCCCCGTAGAGTTCCCCACACGGCTAGGTCGGCCAAGGTAAGAGCGTAGCCAACGATGTACGAACGGAGTGTGAGATGAGAATCCAGCTCTTTCATCGGTTGGTCGAGCGATTTGAAATCCAATGGCCGCAGGGCAGTTGACCTTTTCACCCATTCGTCGACCTAGGTTGGGAGGGAAAAGAAAAGATTTAGTTCCAGTGTAATGTAGATTCGCAGCGAACAGGGAGGCTGGACCCCGAACAAGAGAAGACAAAAAATGGGATTTGAACAAACCTTCTCCTTGTCTCCAGCCTGCAGGGGTACATATATATTCTCTAGATGCTTCAGGACATCATCATCGTATATGGCTTTCCCATCGTCTGACTTCAACTCCAGCTTTGCGCCTTGGGATCCGATGGATTCGACATCTTCAAATTCGACGTTGATAACGGTGCCCGGGAGGCTTTGTTTGACAAAGTTTATAGCCAGAAGAGTGGGTAGCAGAAAGGCGCCATTTGCCTTCGCTGCGACGGTCAATTGGGACATCTTGGCGGGGGTTGGTAGTGTTATCTTTTTGCGTGAGTGGTGTGGAGGGGGTTGAGATTGCCGGACCGTGAGAGAGATTTCTGAACGTGATTTGATTTTTTTTTTTTTTACCTATGTAAATATGGATTGGATTCCCAGTCAGTATGAAGGATTATCACTAGGGATCTTGCAGCTAATACCACCAATGACTGGGTTGGTGGACTGTTTGGTGATTGTGACTTGATGTCCAAATGGTTGGGATGATGCAGAGGAGTAGTTCTAATATCCTTTTTTTTTTTTTTTTTTTTTTTTTAGGCGGGACATAAGTTTAATGCTATTACTTACTTAAACCAATCTCTTCGGTGCTAGAACAAGACGAGCTATTTAACTATCTCCAAGATTACCACAGAGCACTCATTTTACAATATATCTCCAATCCGTCAACTATAGTTACGCATCTATACAAGCAATAAAGGGACAGTTTTCTTAATATGCAGGCATCCCTTTTCCAGTCAATCCACTTCTGCCTAAATAAATGGTAGTTGATCGCCATTTTACCCCGCCAACGAGGTTTGACAATAGTTAAAACTATGTTTTCCACTGTTAGCTTAAACAATTCGCCCTGCTCTTCGTTCTCTAATCACCCCCTCCATCGGCGGTGCCTCCCAGCTTCTTCTCACTCTTGAATGGAACATAACAGCTTTTCAAGTTTGCAGAGCTCTGCCTTTAAGGCGTCTCTGCCGTTCGGATTCAGCGACGATTCAGCGACTTGTTGGGGCGCTTTTCGGGCTATGCTGACAATGTGTGTGAATCCCGCAGTTCTTCGATTCTTCCCCTTTTGCTCTCTAACTAGTGATATCATATCACAATAATATATCAAGTAACTAGTTATATGAATTGATGGACATGCACTTCCACCTGCCACCATGCAACGATGCATTCTCATTGGATGGAAGAAAGAATTCTCACTACGGACTCGATGAAGCCCCACGCGCATTGCCTGGTTAAGCTCTTTAGCTACCGTTGCGTTAATCGGGTTAGGCGCAACTCCGCACTCCGCACTCCACACGCAGCACGCACACGCAGCACGCGCACCGCACCGCACCGTGCGAGAGGCGAGAGGCGAGCGGCGAGCGGCGAGCGACAAGGCCGTCATGTTCCCTCTTAAGTTATTGTTTCTGACTACTTTCGTTGTTTTCGTTCATTAGCAACGCGACGCTCTTCCACCCCTTTCTCGTCCTGCACCTGTCTCTTTTGCCTTCCTTTTCTTCTCTTCCGGGCTCAACTGGTACAGGCGAATTCATTGCCTGTGCTGATTCCTTCGTTCTCCTGTGCTTGGGCGTGAGCATCTTTTTATTTGTCCAACGATTGAACTATTCTAGATAGTAATAGAGTATCCCGCATATCATCCCTCCCGCACGACTTGTTACCCTGCCTCCGTATATACCCCCCGTACCTGCTGCGAGCCACCCTTCCGTTTGTTTATCATATACGTATATTTCTGCAACAATGTCACAGCCAAGTCCAACGAAATCCGAACGACGCGTTCTGGTTGACAAATCAACCAACGCGTCTCTGACCCAATCCCTTTCCCAGAGCACAACCAAGTCGAACATCTCTACATCTAAAGCTCTGTGCGACATGCCCTCGATACCCTCTTCTGTCCTGACGGGCCAGAAAAGATCAATTGATCAGGTAGACTTTGATCAGAATGGATCAAGCTCGACAAAGAGCTCTTTCAACAGGATCCGGCGAGAAGATGAATTCTATATCTATGAAGAGAGTAACACTCAATCTAGTACAGATACAGATAAACAGGTGTGTTCAGCGTTATTTCATGTCAACAACATACATACAATAGGCACAAAAAATTGTGGTTGCAACAGACTGGCATAGATAGAGCATAAACTAATCAAAACAAAAAAAAAAAATTCACAGATGACTCTTTCATCTGCCTTTGTTCAAACCGCACCTATCTTTGATCAAAACACTCAACCCAAAAACTCATCTTCACAAAGAAGCGACACCATGTCTTCCCTACTTAATCTCAGCTTTGGGACTGAGAACAAGTCCCTGCCCAACCCCTTGTCCGCCGAGAATCCCTCAGCACCATCCCCCCCAAAACCGAAGGCAGTAACTACCACCACTTCAGTCGTTCCGACGGACCCCACTGAGAGAAAGGCTTTTATCCAACAGGTTAGCAACGGCACCCTGACGACCACTGTTGCTCAGTTACAATCCCCGTAGTGTACAGTTCTGTTGCTGACCCTGTTTCCATCCACCATGCAGAAAGCAGATCTACTCCGCAGTCGCGTCCAGTTTGCCATGAAAAACATGAAAAACGTCAAAGACAACCAGATCGACCGTCGTATCTCGGAGCTCGAAGCACATGCAAATAGCCGCGATCGCCTTTCCATCTCCCACCTACTACGCACTTCCCCACACCCGATCAACGCGACCAGAATTCAGCTCCATCAGCAGCAACAGCATCGACAGGGCAAGGACGAGGATATGGACCTGACCCCAAAGGCCAAAATCCCCAAGCTCCTCCCTGCGCCCATTCTGCGCCCGGCTGGCCGCTCAGGTCCTTACCCACCGAAAAATACAATCCATTCCTCACCACCCGCCTCAGCTGCTAGCAGCAAGATGGAGGGCGAGGTGACTCCCGTCGATGCCAGCGTGTCCAATGAAAGCATACACAAGAATAAAAGCAATGGCAACGGCAATAGCAGCGATAACGGTGACGGCGACGATAACCCCCCCGAAATCTCTGCCTCTCCCGTTCAATCACACAGCCCGTCACAGACCCGTGACCCGATAATTATGATCAAGAAAAACGAGAAGATGTGCGCTGTGGAACAGATGCTTGCTGCGGAGAAGGATGATGCGATTGATGGGCTGATGAAACTGATGCAGACTACGACTAAATATGATGCGCTAGACGAGGAATGGACTGGGTGATCGATTGATTAAGTTTACTGGCACATACACCCTGGATACCAAGCTTGATTTCGATTATCTTGGGAATCTTGCAAGGTTGGATCTGGGATTAGTTTCCGACTTGGTAGTTCAAAATTCGCCAAGTTGGGCTTCTCCTTTTTTTTTTTTTTTTTTTCCTTTTTTCTTTTTTCGTTTTCCTTTTTCTCTTTTCTTCTTGTACGATATCTCAACGCGCTGAATCGGATGGGATGAAACGGCGATGGGTTGAAGCCCGGTTGCATGGAGATGATTATGTGTTGCGACTGTGGTCTTCTAATTGCTCTTGGGCTATCATCTTATTTTTGCCGGGGAGTGCGACGGTTACTTTGGACAACGGAGTGCGAAATACCCTCATAGAGCCGTGATTTTAGCATCTAGGAGAGAACCAAGGTAATTTTTGACATGCTTCTTGACATTCATCTACTATCCATTCCCTTGATCGTCCTAATACTTGTCGTAGTGCTCCGTAGATGTGGAAACGTTACCTTCAAAAATACCCCCGAATCCCTGAAGCCCTGCAAGTCACGTGGAATTCCTAACACGGTAATTCTGCTTTTACTTCACTGCTCAACTGTTTCACTCTTCACACTTTCACTTCAACCATCTCTGGTGTGGATACATACATACATACATACATACATCAAGATGTTGCCATTTCTGAGAAATACAACTATTGAATCTCCGCTCACTGAAACATTTCTTTTATTCGGCGATTCTCTCAAGCAGAGAATGTCACTGATCACTATGCACATATTATCAAAAGATTCTTCGCAGTTTGCGCAACCAATATGTTCAACTTGTTGTATTTTAGGGATGTGCCTTTGCTATACATTATTTCTATGTTCAACCCATGGTGAATATCAAGTTTTTAAAAATTCTTGTTATTCAAACATCATCGACGAATGTCATTTCTTAAACGAAGAATTAAATAGTCGGGAAAGATGAATTCTCCCTACCTGAACAGCTTGATCATTTTCATCAGGAGTTTTGAACGCGAGTGTGTCGAGCATGCGGCGGATATACGTGAAGTATGTGGGCAAGAAGAAGCGGATGGCAGCTTCTGAGAAACAGCAGCGGATAGCGAAAGAGAAGGCGGAAAGAGGAGCAAAAGAAACAAAAAGCAATTTGGAAATTGATGGCGAAAAAAGCCTCGCGATGCTGGCATTGGTGGCGATAATAAGCATCATCAGAAGGCCGCTCCTGTGAGTAACTCCCCCCCTTGCTGCAGCCACCACCGCTGCTAGCTGTGGGGGATAAAGTTGTACGAGCTGCGGCGTGTAGCCGGCCAAACTACAACTTTGTCGAAGACCCTCTCTGCGCTGTTATCACCCGCAAAGCCCGGGAGGGCCAGATGTGCGTGTGTGTTAAGTTTTCGCTCTGTGATCTTGGGATCTCGAATGCACAGTTCGTTCGCCATGAAGCTAGTAACTTCGTGACAAAGAGAAGACCTAAGGAGAAAAGTCGTACGCTGGGGAGAAAGTGGGCATTTGTATGATTGGCAGGTAGCGAATGAAAAGGTCCTATGTGGGATGGCTTATTAGGTGCAAAGTACCTTGCCAGCGCAATTAGATTTTATATTTGGGTTTCTATATATCTCTATTTGAAGGTCGTGGCTTTTCGAGGTGGCTGGTTCTTACGTTTATGGTTGTGGTTCATACTCGGGTTTGTGGTCAAGGGGTGTTCTTTGCTACGAACAAGAATGGATGTTCTACCAATGCTATTTTCAAATCTTCGGTTGCAAGTTGCATCTACAACGCACCGTTTACTCCGGACTTTAAACTAATAGAAATCTATAAAACTCATAACTCTTGACATAGCTGGGACCGGCTGAGGTTATTGGTAACCCACTGCTGTAAATTGGGGCTAGTCACTGTTGTTAACCAATGTCCCACCGTTCACAGATATACATATATACGGTGTCAGAAACTGGTAGGTTGAATTCTCGAGAGATCTTAGAATTCATGAACCCCAAGCGGGACAGTGGCTCCCTTCTCACCCTCTACAGATACAGTGGAGAAAAGAGTAACTACACCAGCTACACCATAGCAAGAAAGAAACAACAAGGAAAGCAGGTTAAAACAGTCAACAGTCAAAGGAACAAAGATGGAAATAAGGAACACTTCAGAAAGACAAGGGCTTATGTCTGCTTCCGAAACAGAGAGTGTGAATAGTGTCTGTATTCCTTTGAGGGTGAAGAAACCCAAGGACAATGAGAAATTCACGCCCAGGATGACTTGAGAACGAGTGCAACTGGCTCAGTGCAGGGAAAAGCAGATGAAAAAGAAAAATGAAGGTATTGAGTAAGGATCTAGCAGTGAATCAAGTGAAACAGGAGAAGAGGGGCTGCGAAGTGAAAGAAAGAGGAACAATTTTAAATTATATTTGCTAAACAAGAGATTTACATGTAGATGAAAGCCGTGACCATTATATTCAGATCTTCCAGCACTGTGTGATATATATTCATCGATCCTTTCCCAAACATTTAATTACAACCCTTCTTAGTGACTATCGCATTTGAAGTTCCTTTCTCACCCTGAAAGCTATCAGAGTTTCCCAGCAATCAGTTTGTTAAAGCAAACAAGATCCCACCATTTCAGAAACTTCCCCTGCTCTCTCTCCTCAAACACATAACACCGAGAAAACAAACATTGAAATATCTCTCCAGCTTGATTTCTTTATCATCCAGCTTTTTTGATTCTTTGCTCCTCTTGTCCCGTTGCCAATACATCAAACATATTCGGAGAGAGTAAAGACGGCCGCGGATAATAGCGAGGGAGATCCAATCGACTCGGTCAGTTTGGAAACAGATATGGAAACCGATGTCCCCGCAGCGGAAGAGAGTGCAAAAGATATTGCCAGCGACAATATCAACGAAATGGAATCTGAGAAGAGCGAGGGTAGTGTGGTGGATGATGCAGAGACAGAAGAAGATATACAAGGCGAAGTGGAGGATTGTCCGTCGATAATCATAAAGCTCAAGTTGGGCCCCATGGGCGTAGCCGGGAAGAAGCGAAAGAGAGCTCCTAGCCCACCACCTAGCCCACAAACACAGCAACCGGAAGAACCTGATATAGCTTCGGTAGCTAATCCGATTGATACACCTAGGAAAATTGCAGAGAAGCAGCGGATTGAAAATGTGAAGAGGCTTCTGGCATTAATTGCTGTGGGAGTAGGTCAAATTCAGGCTTCAGGGGAGAAAGTTGCTCCTAAACTGGACAAGGATATAGCTGGGCCGCCACCAAAGAAGTTTAAACCAATGAGAGGGACAACCCTGGCAAGTGGACATTGGTTTCTCTAGGGACGCAGATTGCTCCCCTTAAGAAGGACGAATTAGCAAATATGATGAGAAAAGAACCGGACGCCGAACCCACCAAACCGTCTGACTCAACAGGAGAAGCATTGGGTATGAATGCCAAGCCAAAACCAGTGGTTAAAAAAACAAAGCCACCAGAAAATAGAGTTACGAAAAAGGCCTAACCAGAAGTTTCCCAAGTGGTATTGGATGACAAAGGTGCTGTTCTCGGCATTGATGCTACTTCCGGACCGGAGGAAAAGCAGAAAAAGCCAGAGGCAAGAAGAGTTAGAAAGAAGCCTCAGCCAGCAGTTGCTCCAGTGGTGATGAAAGGTGAAGAGAATTTTCAATGGGTTGATATAGCTCCTAAGCTAGAAAATCAGCAAAGAATGCCGCCTGCAAAAAAGAGTAAGAAGATCGCCCAGCCAGCGGGGGCTCCAGCAGTATCGGTCAATGAAGGAGTTATACCGGGGGATCAATGTAGCCCCTAAGCCAGGAGAGTAGCTTAAAAAGCCAGCGGCAAAAAGAGTTTAAAGAAACGTCAACCGGAAAATGCTCCAGTTCCACGGGAAGGTGTAGAGCCTGTGTTCCGTGCGTATATAGTTCCTAAACCGAAAGAACCACAGAAAAAGCCGCCTGTAAATGAGTGAACAATAAGACTGGCCAGCAAGCAGTTGTCTCAGTGGCACCGGAAGTTGAAGATGCTGTTTTTGGGAAATGATACGGCTCCCAAGCCGAAAGAAAAAAAGAAAAAACCAAAAGCGAAGAGAGCAAGGAAGAAGCCACGGCAAGCAGTTCCCCAACCGGCAACGGATGAAGATGGGGGCTGTTCAGGGGCCTAATATAACTCCTAAGCCTGAAAGACAACAGAAGAAGCCACCGGTTGAGAGAAGAAGACCTAGAAAAATCGCGTCCGCGGCCCCAGCGGCAGGTGGTATGACCGTTCAAGAGGACTAACACTACGGATGAGATTGTGGTTCCTGAAGTGACAGTGGCTGGACCCCAGCAAGAAACTCAGAAGACAACTGTAATGAAAGAGGCTGCTGGGGAAAAGGTCGTGTCGTGTCGGGTAAGGAAAGAAAACTGGAACGGGTCAGCTATCCCGCAGCAGGAAGAGAAAATAGTAGCTGAAACAGGTGACCGGCAAAAGAGGGTCTGTCGAACGGCTAAACAGCAGATGGATTGAAAGAGTACCTGTCTATTTCCAGGAAGGATCTGGATGAAACCCATGGAAGGGTGAGAAGACGGGAATATTCAAAAAAAAAAAAAAAAAAAAAAAAAAAAAAAAAAAAAAGACGACGACGACGACGAGTAAAAGTGATGCGGAAAAATAAAATTGTTCTAGCGGACTTTCTTTAGTTTCCTCACCCTCCGGCCAAGGACGTCTCTCCCTTCCTCTATCTCTCCCGTAGCCTCTCGCTTCGCCTCTCCAACTTCCTTTAGAATCCCGCCTCGTACAATCCTACCCTCGATGCTGACTCCTTCCTCCTTCCATTCTTCCATCTTCCTCCCCACACGATCTTCAATGGCCAAAACCAACTGGACATCGCGTTGGCCAACCAGAGTAACTGCCTCACCTTCACGCCCGGCTCTGGCAGTTCGGCCAACGCGATGCACATAGTCATCGGGATTGCGAGGTACATCGAAGTTAATTACCAAGCTCACGCTGGGGATATCCAGGCCGCGAGCAGCGACGTCAGTAGCAACTAATATAGGAGCGGCAGATGCACGAAAGCGAGAGAGATTTGCAGTACGCTCTGATTGTGGTAGAAGGCTATGCAGTGATGTGGCTCTATGGCCAAGTCGTCGCAACATACGTTCAAGGAGATCTGCAGTTTTCGTACGATTGCAAAAGATAATGGCCGCTTTCGACGAATTACCTTCCGTCGATAAAAGGACGTGGAGAAAGGCCTCACGATGGGTTAGGGGCACCAGGAGATAGCTTTGCTTGAGAGTACGTGGGATAGTAGCTTGATTTTCGGTTGATATTTCTGTTACGAAGATCGGAGGTTTGCTCGCTGGTCGAGGCATGGATTTGAGCGCTCGAACTTCAGGGGTGACTGTTGCTGTGAAAAGTAGTGTTTGACGAGCTGTCGAAGGGGGAAGCGCAGAGAGGCAAGTTTCCAGGTCGGGAAGCATGCTTCCCGGGCCAGATTCCAGCAAACGGTCAGCTTCATCGAGAACGACAAAGCGTGCGCGGTTGAGGCCACAGATAGTATCTCTCCCGGAGCTGTTGATATGATCCGCCAGACGACCAGGAGTGGCAATCACTACGTGGGGACGCTGAGAGAGAGCAATGGCTTGTGGGCGCATTTCAGTTCCACCAGTGATAAGGATTGGTTTGAGAGATTGCGGCGCTGATATGGCCTTGATTTGTTCAAATATTTGCAACGCCAGTTCCCTGTGTTAATAGATCTCAAGTTAGCAGAAGTAGAAGGACAGTGATAACAATTAAAAATTGAGCAGGTACAAGAAGAAAGAGCCTTCTGCTATTATGTGCATACCTCGTTGGTGTCAATACCACCGCAAAGATCCCAAGCGGATCCTCAGACCACTTTTGCAATATCGGCGCCGCAAACGCAACAGTCTTCCCTGAACCAGTCCTGCTCCCACCTATACAATCCCTCCCCTTAAGGATCTCCGGTATGCATGCTTTCTGAATTGCCGTCGGTCGTTTGATAGCCATTGCGGACAAGGACCCTACGAGCCATGGCGCAAGGCCCAGGGTTGCAAATGATGAACCGTCCGATGGAGTTTTAGTAGCTAGAGCATCTTTCACGGTAATTGGATCTGCATCAGCGGACTGCTTCTTTTGGACATTATTTACAGGCTTCTTCTTTATTCGTGATACGATCGGCAGGAGGGGTTGTTGCGGGGCTGCCGCTTGGGGAGTTTTTGAGATTTCGTCTTCGGAAGAGTTGGAGGTCCCACCAGGTGATAACGATACTCGACGTCGTTTGGAGGGTCGGGCTAGTTCTGATACCTCCACTCCGTTATCTTCATTAGATGATACATTGGAAGCAGATAATTTACCGCCTGATTCCAATCCAATTTCTATATCTTTAAGGGGCGCCATTTTGTTTGGCTCAATTGTGAAGGCATATTTCAAATGCGGCTCTTAGGTTTTTATTGAAGACGATGAAAATAAAAAAATATACGGAGTATTGCCAATGGACTCCGAAGGCGGTGAGATGACTGCTCTCACGTGATATCGAAAAAGGGGAAGTCCCTTTCCCGAGGTTATTGTGGACGTGTAAAAGATGTTAATGGATCCTAAAGAGCTGTTTATGGATTAGAAAATTAATAACGTATCATGCCTGCTCTGAATAGCTGTGCATGAATAATGAGGTCCTATCTAAAATTCAATATCTAGTCTATAACAGTCTGAACCGTGAAACCTCGAGATTCCACTCAAAGTTGAGTGGCAGACCGGAAACAGGGCGCTGGGGTTCGAGCGGGAGGGAAAAAGAAAAAGGACCCCTAACTGAATGGCTAGAAAGAAGGGAAGAGTGGAAATAGACACGTCAACATTAACGTGTACTTGCTCGACGAAATTCCCCCGAAAAGAATAATGAATTCTCAACCAGATATGTATTCTAGATATTTCTTCTCCCTCACCTGCTGGGGCGCGGTATGGTAGAAGAGTCCAACGATCCAATTTGGTGTCTATAGGTGGATATAAACAGAGAGTACCACAAAAAGACATATAGAAACAGAGCTACCTCTCACATCGACTCCGCCTACGCATCGAGGGCGCGGAGTGAAGCTCATACGACTCGCCCCTCTCCAACTCATCCTCAACTGCAGAATCCGAAGATCTAAACACGCCACTCCTATTTCCAGAAGGTGGAGTCACAGTTATGTCGCTGTCTTCATAACCATGTGTTCCACCCACACTCTCCATAGTAAAGGGGTTAGCGGTCGGTGCGTCGAGGATAGCAAGTTCCTGCTGCGTGAACCAGCGCGGAAGCAGAAACGTTCGAACGGGGATGAGAATAAGAATGAACACAGGGAATCCAATCGCAGCAATTGTCTGTGTGATGGCAAAAGTTGCTCCAAAGCCGAGGAGTTCAATCCCAACAAAGGCCCAAATGGCCAGTCTCCGATTAATTCGTTTCAGCGGATCAGATGCTGGCGTGAGTTTCCTGTCTTGAGCGAGGAACTTGATTTTCTGCGTCACTCCGTTGCCCAACAGAGCCTGGACACCCATTATGAAGAAGAGTCCGGCCATGACTCCTTGCGGAATTAGATGCAAGACAACAAGGAGGGGGCCGCTCATCGTGCCTAGTGTTAGAATGCCTTGCCCAAGGTTGCTGAATCGTTGTTCAACGACGTGGTCGATAACACGGACTGCTTTACCCTTGTTTGTTTCGTCTTCATCGGCATCCTGACGGGTCACGCAAAGTGCGGCGGTGTGGAAGGGCGCTTGAGGAATGAGGCCGTTGGGGAAAGGGATACCTAGAATTCCGGCTATACCGGTAGTTAAACCAAGCAGAAAGATATCCCAATGGAATCCAGCAGGTTTCCGAAGCGGAAATTCGGTACCTTGAGCTATTAAGGACGAAACTAGCTTATGTATTAGTATTTTCTGCAAAGAAAAACCACAACTGGAAATTAGTTTTAAGAACCATTATGATCAAAGTAGAATAGAATCGTCAGGAGCAAGGCGAAAGGTATCGTAAGGAATATATCAGCGACGCCCATGTCCCAGAAATTCACAGCCCAGCCGCGGTCTGAAGTGGGGGAAAAGGCCTTGCTCGTGGGCAATGTTTCGATGGGTACATTTTTCATATGCCCAATGTGAACGAACCCCGTAAAGAAAACGATGGTGAGCGGGGTTCCATAGTCCTCGATGAATTTGCGGACATATCGCTGGAAGAGATTGCTTTCCCCAATCGTGACAGAGATATAGGCGCACATAAGCACAAGGAGAGATACCATGATGGACAGGTAGGCAGAGGCTTCACCAAATTTGTCCCACTGCCGGGTGAGAACCTGAATCCCCTTTTGCAGGTAGATAAATGCCACGTAGAATCCAAAGATATCACAAGAGAAACGAGTGACGTAAGTCAATGCATTGCAGGAGTTCGTAATGGCAAGAATCCAATGCATTACCATCGCCCATCTAAAATTATGTCAATATATCTCCATGCAACCTCAGCCCACGTATGAGCATTGAGATGTAGACGGAGTAAGGGACCTCACATTCCAATCCAGCACATAAAACCCAAGTAATTGATTCCTGTCGGTAACATGATATCATAAACAGTATAGTTAAAGACGGTAATAGGACCTGTGAGCTGGCATTTAGCAAAACGATCATGATATCTTTTTTGCCCCTCTGAAGATGTACCAATTGAAGGCACGAACCTGTTACTCCAACGATAACCAAGGGTTGGCACGCAAGAAAAGAGAAAACGACTGCACCCAGGACTGAAGCCAAGAGCACCTCATTAACCCCGTAGCTCATGTTTGTTTTTTCGAACATATCTAAGGAAAATGCAAGAGCGGGTAAAATACTGCAGTTACAGTAAGCATCTCTATCGTTTCCACTATCATGTATGGGTATATAGAGTGATGGGCCGTTATATAAAAGCTACATTTCGCGCTCGTTTGGTTTGTAGCTCATTTTTTACTGGACAGCTTGTCGAGCAATGTCATGAAGAGACTAGTCCACGTTCTCTCCAAGTGCTTCAGACCGCAACACTTGATATGATGACGGGCGAAAAAGAGTGGGGAAAGGGGAAAGATGCTAGAAATGAAGGAGCATAACATATAAAGAAAGAAAATGTATATTTTCCGGGCCATACTTTGCGAAATACATATACACCGTCGCAGGAACGACGCGATAATCCCAAGCATCCCTCCAGTCGCTGGCGTAGTATGGCGCCCTCCTTTTGATATCGCTTATCATGCCCTGGAAAAAGTGGATATGCCACCACTTCTCGATCGAGGATGAAGTTGTCGCTGTCGACATCGAAAGTGTAGGTGTCACATCAGGGGAGCGCATTGGCTCCTGGGACGTCATGGTGGGGCGACGGGAATTATCTCTTGCTGGATGCAGAGATGAGATATCCTGGCCTTGACTCTGCACTGGCACTTCCCGCTGTGCACGCGATGAGGATGAGGAACGAAATGAGTGGAAATGGGGTCCTGTGGGGAGACTGAATATTCAAAGCGATGATGATTGCTGCTCTGGAGACATCTTCAAAATGATACAATCTATCTAATATAGAACGGCGTAAACGAAGAATTATCATTGGCTCCACGAATAAAGCAGAATAAATCGCATTCTGATTCGGGATATGGGAACTATCCTCTCTACAATATACTCATCGAGGGTCTGGGGAAGAAAAATGATGGAGAAGCTGATGATAGCCCTGTGCTTGAGAGTGGGTAGGTAGTTGGGGCCTCCGAAACTCTCCAGGCTGACGTCAGGGTATATATATAGCCTTTTCGTAGTGTGGGAGAAAGGCCCAAACTCTCCCTCACCGTCAGGCTGTCCTGGCACTTCTTCCGAGAGTCCTGTTTAAGAGAACATTGGAAGAATTGATGGATACCCCGTGCACAGATGCGGAGCGTATTTACTGGTAGTGGGCTTATTCCACCTGTGCTGGTATTGAAAAACACTGGTCAGCATAAATTTACAAGGTGAAGTTGTAACTAGATATTTATCGTTGGAACGAAGGTAAGTAGAGCAATTGGTATCATACACATGTTAGTTAATAGCTTACATCATTGCCAATTAGTTAGTTAGCAGTCAAACTCTTTGATTAAAAACGAAACATCCGTATATAGAGCAAGTTTGTTTAGACGTTCCAAATTGTATCTTCCCTTCTTTTCACCATATCCCTATTGACAATTGTTAGTGTTCTTTTGAGCTTGGGAATTACACTACTAAACTACACAAAGCTGACAATCCTAATATGTTCTACTAATTTGAAACCCTTTTGCTGAGGTTAGTAGCGTGCATCGAATGTCGTTCAGATTGGGCAATTTAAGCGGGTGGAGGAGGCGGTGGCTGGTCGCTCGGTGGCTGTAAATAAAATTTAGTCAGTAAATTGTTCAAATAGGTTGTATAGTGCGTGAATACTAACCGGAGGTGGTGGTCCCTCGGCAGGAGGGGGCGGAGGCGGTGTGATTCCCGCACCATAACCTGAGAATATGGCTCCCATTCCCGGAGGGGGAGGGGGGACTGCACTGAGGCCAGGGGGAGCTCCCATGGGTTGTTGGGGTGGGAAAGCCGAATAGCCAGGGTAGCCATAGCTTGTATGTCCTCCTGGGGGGGCCACTGCCGGTACTGGTACTGGTGCAGGTGCTGGATGTGGTGCATGGTGCTGTTGTTGCCAAGGAGCCGGTGCTCCCGTTCCGCCTTGTCCTCCATGTCCATGCCCACCGTGGCCCCCGTACCCGCCGCTGTGCGATCCATACCCATATCCATCACCACCTCTGCTATCTCTATCACCACGGTCCCCTCGATCGCCCCGATCATAACGCCCGCTAGCACCGCCAGCTGCCCAAGGAGGAGGAGCTCCATGTTCGCGGGGTGGATAATCGTCACGGGAGCGCTCTTCTCTTGGTCGTTGCCAAGGAGCGGGCCCACCGGTAGGACCGCGTTCCCATGGTTTCAATTGGCGTTCACCACTATAGTTATCATTTTGTTCGTAACCACCAGGACCAGCTTCGATGCGGCGGGGAGGTTTGTCGTCGCTAGGCGCGGCACCTCCGAGTTCTTGCATGAGTTGCTGTAGCAAATGTTAGTGCTTTTGTCTCTGGGAAGATATGGAAAAGCGAAGAAAATACGGCAGGGTGGATTTACCTCCATCTCGCGGTCCACAGCATCACCGCCACCCCTACGACCAGATTGACCAGGCGGGCCATGATTGCGCCAGTCAGTCCCTCTCTGGCGGTCTGGACAGTCTTTCGCCATGTGACCGGCATTTCCACAAACACGGCAAATAATGCTGGCAGTGAAGTTGCGTTGCTCGGGGCAATCATATTTGCGATGACCAATTTGACCACCTTAAATAAGTCATTAGCGTTGGATCCTCATTAATTCAGGCGGGAATCCAGGTGAACTCACAATTCTGGCAAGCTTGATTCTCGTCGTCTCTCAACGTTCCGTTAAGTGCAGCAAGCTCTCGTAGCTGATTTCGCTTGAGCTCATTCTGACCTTCGGGAATCGAGGCAGCCTATTTAAGTGTCAGAAGACACATATAGTTTAAAACACACAAAAGACTGAGTGGGTCAAAATGGTGGGACGCACAGTTTCGATAACATTATGAATCAACTTCTTCGCCTTGTTTACCTTTTCTTCCGTGTCTGCCATGATCAGACAGTGAAGATCTTCTTCCTGGTTGCTAGTGTGAGCCGCGTCAGATCGACCTTTGCCTTCCTTGACAGAGCCTTTGCCCCGAATGGCAATTTTAGCACCGGATTCTGTTTCCATCTTCTTGAGAGTATTTCCACGAGGTCCGATAAGTAAGCCAACTTCAAAAAGAAAAGTAGTGGTCTAAGTGTTAGTCTTTGAAAAGCATAAAAATTTTGGAAAAGTAGTGGTGCATTAGTATTTGTAGAGGGTTAGTGAAACAGCAAGAAAAATGAAGAAGAAAAGAGAAAGAAAAAAGTAGGAAATAGAGAACGACGACTCAAGAACGTGGCTCGAGTCGCAAAGCAGAATTGAGGATGAGAAAAAAATGGTTAGGAGTTAGAGGGTTAGTTATCATACTGAAGTTAATTTCTGGATAGTCATTCACGGGCACATAGACTTTCTCCTGTGTTTTAGTCGGACGCCTGTAGTCAGACGGCGGGTGATAATTAGGGATGGCTTTAATCGCCTTCTCAATCAGTTTATGACGTTCGTCTTCCAGTCGCTTCCGGTAGCGGTATTCCCTGGTATTCACACGTCTACCGAAGTTGTCGTACTGTGGAGGAGGAGAAGGTGACCTATAGTGATGATGGGCATCCGTAAGCAAAATCCGTGTTCTGATCGAATGCTGTTCTTCACGTGTGTAGGGGGGGGGGGGGGGGGGGAGGAAGAGGTTACAATCCACATACCTGTCTCCATCCGCAGGAACAACATCATTGATCCTAAGTTTCTGACTGATTTCCTCGATACGAAGATGAAGCGTATAGGCCTCAAGTTGTTCATTGGTCATATTTGCCATGATTAAAGTGGGTAGGCCCATGAGACCAGCTGCTTTGTTTTCCTCTGCATCTCCCCAACGGTTGCGCTTCTTGCGCTTCTTGATGCCATCTTCAGGCAGATTAGCTGCAAAAAGGGAAAAGTAATTGAGTCAGTTTGTTATCTTGATAGATAATATAGAAGCGGGATAAAGCGCAACCTTACCACGCACCGGACTTCGACCACGCTTATACCCAGGATCTGGTGTTGACATTGCGGTCGAGTCCTCACTTTTGGCGATGTCTTCATCACCCCCCAATCTGCGGCGGCTGCCAAGTGGGATATTGTTAGATCCTGTAATTCCTTGGTTACGCCACGCCATGATTCCTTGTGCGATTCAGGTAATCCAAGAAAATTAAGTCAGTTAGATGGTTGTGGTATTCTGGAGTTGATATTTTTCACAAGCAACGGGTTGTGGCAACTCTGAGAGAGAACGTTAAACATGCCGGTCAATCACGTGACACATAAGCGGAAACTATGCAAGCGTAATTCTTGGCGCGGTCTAGAAAAAATAGGGAGGCACGTGACTAGGGTAGCCGTAGTATCCCCGCTACCTATCGTTAACACTTCAACTTGTGAAGATATAGGATTATTCTTTCTAATAATATATAACAGGAGTAGAAGAGGAGAAACAGATGGATGCACTTCAAGAGTCCGCGATCATCACCTTGGTAAATTACCGCAGGCAGGCCAGGACAGGGTTTATCATCTCTTCAAAAATGCTTTTCAAGTCGAAGAGTAAAATATCAGAGCATCAGAATCTGAACCCAGGAACATCCTCCGACTCCCAACCACTGCTTAACTACCGTCCTACGTCTATGAGCTACAAGGAACTGAAGTTGAAAAGAAATGGGTGGGAAAAAGTTTGAGGTTAGGGTCCACTGCGACATTTCGAGAAAAGGTTTGCGTAAAAATATGTAATTTTTTTTTTCTTTTTTCCCTTTTTCTTGCTTTTTCTTTTTCTTTTTCTTTTCTTTTTCTTTTCTTTTCTTTTCTTTTCTTTTCTTTTTTATTTTTTATTTTTTATTTTTATTTTTATCACTGACTGTATCCCGTTCTCTAACTATACACATAGACAGATGAAAAGAAGAAAATAAACATAGAGAATATATATGGCCAATGGAAAAAAAAAGGATACGATACACTTTTTCTCTCACATTTTTTAACTGCGGTTAAAGTTTTTAAAAGGTGACGTAGTTGATAAATGTGTAATGAGAGCGAGGGACATTGAAAATATAATCGAGTCGAGAAGGAATATTGACGGATGTAACAAAGCATAGACATGAAAATGAATCGTTTCCAGGAGACTGTCTTTCCCAGTCCCGCATAGAGAGGCAGGCAAGAAGAAAAGAGCTGAAGAGACGGAAGCAAAAAACGCACCGCGAAAAAAGAATGCAGCGCAAGCGGAAGGGAATCTACCACGAAAAGCTTTCCTCAAGGAAATCAATACAGCTCCCGGGTTGCCTCAGTCGGCATGCTCGTCGGACATCATCGCTCAAACTACCCGTCCCGCACACAAGGACGCCCATAGCTCCGATCTGATTTTCTATCTCGCCATCGATGAGCGTTTGCACATTGGGTTTTCCGGGAAACATCTGCACGGTTGAGCTAGGGCTATGGATTTCGCGCGTGTTTCGTGGACGGGTGATAAAGAGCATGATTCGAAGGATATCGCGACGCCCCTCCATGGACAAGATGCTGTTCATCCATGGACGGATCCACTCGAGGTGCTCAGGTGATTGGATGATCCACACCAAAGTAATTCGACGGGCAGCGACGGTGCCATTGGCAAAGCCTGTAACGAGATAACGGACGAAAGAGACATGATGTGTGATCCCAACACCGGCGGCGAAGAGCATTACTGTCCCGTAAGAGTCGAGGTCGTGGTCGACGCCGTATGGTCCTTCGACATAGGCGTTGAGGGAAATGAGGCCATCCCTGTTTGCACTCGCACGTTCGAACAGAGCATTTGTGAATCCTGTTCGTCGACGGACAATCAAAGATATCGTTGTTGTTTTTGGCATACTCTGAATATCTTGACGAGACCTGGCGAGTCCCTTCTCTTCGTTAAGGTCCTCTTCTGTGTCGCTCCACGCAGCGGTGAAAGGGTGAGACATCCAAAACCCCACGGATGGCATGTAGAGATACAGGTGCTGACCTGGCTTGAACCTCCATGGCCGTGCGAGTTTCAAGGTGATGCGAAGTGCCTCTCCCGGTAGCACTTCGACAGTTGCTTTCGTAACTTTCTTCCCGAAGTTTCTCCAAAGAATGATGGCAATGCGGATTAAACGCTACATTGCATTAACGATCTGGAAAATACGGAGATTGCGAGGAATCGATACACTTACCTCGAGCCCCCAAAATACGACGGAAGTAACGAGATATCGTCGCTGGGGCCTCTCCTTCAAGTGGATGTATAAAAAGCCGAAAGTTAGTGCCACAAAGAGGATGTGGAGATGCAAGAAGGTCTCATAGAACGCATGTCTAATTGCAGACGGCGAGTGTAAAGCGAGCATTAAGAAAAATATCATGGCCTGGTCTCATTAGCCCCTGGAATGGACGTATGCTCCGAGATAAATATTGTTGTACTCACGATTAGGCCGGTCATGATGAACTGGCTTCGGAAAGAAGCCGTGACAGAGTTCCAGCCTTCTATTTTGGGGGTCAGTAAAAGAAGCACAATAAGCTGAGAGGAGGAAGACTGACTTGTATTGACTCTGTTTATCATCCACGCAAGAACATGAGTGAGGCCCTCCAAAACGACGATCCGAGCAAACCAGCGATGTAAAAGATTCCAGGTATCAAAGGATACGTTCAGGAGTTTAATGAGTGGGTTGTTCCTCCCTGCCATGACGACTAGGGGTATTAGATTAACCACAGCCATTGTACCCGAACGGTTCCTAATGATACCCAGGACCTTCGATTCCGCTTCTGGATATGGGACTGTGACACAGCAAAGGGTTATGTTCATCGCGATGATCCCTAAGATAAGGAAGGTTTGGAAGCGTGTAGGAAGAGTTCCAACGTTGATGGCTGTAGAAAGACGGAATTCACGGTTATGTCGGGTTCGAAACAAGGGAGCATATATCACCGATTTCTTCAGCCATGCCCAGAATGGATCCGCTGGGATGAAATATCGTTGATATTCATTGTTGAGACTCGTGAGTCGCCTTATATGGTTTGAAAACCGAATAACAGAATGCCATATCAAGAAAAAGGCAAGGACACATCCTCCAGTTAGGAGAGATAGGCGGGCGAGTTTGTCATCGAGGAGTTTCTCGGGTGTAGGACCTCCATCCTTGCCGTGTCCTCCACCTGCCCTTTTCTCATGCGCTGCGGTCACCGTGCCGAAAACAGCTGAGAGCATATATAACAATCGCATCGTGCCCATTTCGCGTGTCCCGCTCAGAACCCAGGATGGCGTGGAAGTGACAGCTAGAGAGGCGCGGCCCGTAGCTGCGACGAGATCGAAGTGAGGAAGATAAAATAACAGACCAGGACCGAAGCTGGTTTTGGGTTCGATGCTGATAGACTAGCTACAGCGTGGACCCGGAAAATAGGCGGCTGGCAAGTCGAGAACCCAGTAGTGTTTTTTTTTTTTTTTTTTTTTTTTAAAAAAAAAAAATGATGGTTGGAAATGAATGAATGGCGATATCTAATTGCGAAGCAGGAAACGAGTGGACAAACGGGTTGTTTGAAGGGTGGAAACGAAGTTGTCTGAAGGGCTGCAGGGAAAAGGGTGATAGGCTGGAAGAGATTGATTCAGGAGAAAGCAGCCTGCTAACTACTACTACTACTACTACACACGCCCTCTAGATTCTGATAGAGCAGTTCCACAGAGATCTTCACCTCTGTTGATCTGAGATGGGGAAAAGCTCCTGAGTCAATAAAACGGTATGGGGCGATGCTGAGGCAATGTAGTAGTTTTTCTTCCGATCCAGAAGGGACAATGAGGAGGGATTTGAACAAGCTTGCTCGCCCTTCCTGAGCCAGCAGAGAGGGTTGGGGGGGGGGGGGGGGGGGGGAGGTGTCCTCGGAAGAACTGAGGAGAAAGGGGTAAGATTCCAAAGCCTTCAACAACGCCCTGATGCGACCCAGCTTAGCCGGGCACAGATGCAGACAAGAGGGGGCCGTTGGGGATATTGCAAGGAGGTTCTGGAATCCGGGAGATCGCAATCCACAATCACCAGATCAAAAGAGCGTGATGACTATGGGACAAAGAGAATGCAATCGCGAGAAAGAGGAATGATGAGTGAGAGAAGTACGGAGCAGTATTTTCTGCGGGGAGTTGCACGGGCTGGCTGGCTGGCTGGTTGGCTAGCGTGAGGATGTTTCGTCCCCCTTAGAGACGGACAGGGGGCAGCTGGGAAGGATTTATTCCAATAGCAGGTCAAACCTTCAACATGGTAGTTTTAACTAGCCGACGGCTTATTTAAATTTTTAATCTTTTCCAGTGTGGTCCCCGGCCCAGGCCAGTAGCTAATTAGTTAGCTGGCAACTAGTTGTTGTTGGCCAAACTAAACTCTGTGTTTTCGTGGCAACTCTTAATTTCTTCATGATTCATCAGTTTCCAGATAATTAAAATCGGGTTTGTTTCTTCATCTGTGACATGCTTGTGAATCTGTCACAGTCAGACTGGGGCTGTCTTCATGAGAGAATGAGTGTGCCTTCACAGAGGACCGATGATTCATTTGTCTTCCATGATAAGCACGGACAAAAGAACATGTATACTACACAATTCACCACGGAGAATCACCATTGGACAAAGTTTGATTTTCTGGCAAAATTGGGACTTTCTCAAGTGTTGCTGCTCTCTAAGAACCAAGCTCATAAAAAGTGTCGTCTTGATTACACGCCCAAGTGGGGGAGTGCGGGTCTAAAATCCTCTGATTGATAACAAACGAGCGATTTAACAGGCTTGAAAACGGAGGTGGAGAACAATCAGAAAACAAACTCACAGATCCACCCGTGGAACTGTTTCTCTCCTAGCGCTGGCTAACCAGGGGAAAGGCCCGGCGCTCTGCTCAGCGGCTGGTCCTGGATGGCCTGGATGGCCCAATTGGCGAGCGCTGTTTCTGCTACAGGAAGCCCTTGCCGGTGGATGCGCCCTGAAACGCGCTATGAGGACCAAATTTTCCTGCCGTGTCACACTACGGCATCGTTTCGGGCCCGGCATCGCAGCCCTTTGAAGTCGGAGGCCGCTCTGGGGAATCGAGTCGGTTGGAATCAATCATTGATTGTTTCAAGGCCCCATTCCCACGTTTTTCTGGCGTTTCTCTCAACCCCATTGCGGCGTCCAAGTGGCTGCTGAACTGTGTTAAAAAAGGTTAACGCAAAGGTGAATGAAGTTTACTTTTTCTAACCCGGATCTTGACGTTGCTTCCAACCCTGCCGAACTCCTCCGTTGCTCGAACAACATCCGGTCCTTTTTCTTCCTGGCTGTCTTCATGAGATAATCACAGCGAATGGTCGTGCTCAAACTTCAATGTCTCCATTTCCCTACCACGGTTATAAGATGTGGTTCGGATGTTGATTTGATAGTTGTGCGGTAGCAGTGGGGCGTTCCCGTTGATCCGTCCTTGGGTCTTTTGAAAGCTAAAAGGTCTCCCGGTTACGGCAGCTTGACTGCAAGCTGCAGGCTTACTTTACGATGACAGCAACCACCGAGGTTGACAAATACGAATTTGCTCCTTAATTCCATGGTTGTGTTTTAACTTCGCTATTAATTTCTTCTCCCGTCGGGATTCATTTCCCCATGCTAGGTGGCAGTATTGCGACTGTCCCATCCTGCCAAGATGCGGAACAGAGGAGAATTTTCTCATCTCATCACGCAAAAGGGACGCACGGTTACATATCAAGGAACCCCACATTCGCTGTGCTATTAACTAAACATTCGAGAAAAACATGGAATCTCCCTGTTTCAAGGATCTCGAATCAGAAGAACTCAAGGAGTTCGTCACCTCAGTACTTGCAAGTTGGAAGTAATATCCCCTGGCATGGCGTTCTGGTAGCTATCACGCCAAAGACAATGTTGTTTGCCGGAACTTAGAGGGTCGTAGCTTTAAGGTTCAAGTAAGGATGTAGCAAACAACTCCCGCGTTCTCCTCCTGCGTTCTTCTCCTGCGTTCTTCTCCTTCTTTCCGTGCGAAGAGCCGGAAACAATGGATTCCCCACTTGCGGTTTTCATCATCATCATCATCATCATCATCATCATACGCGATAGATTAGCACTAAACATTGCAAACAGAGCACCTGTGTGAGCTGACCTGAAATAGGAGGCTGCTGAACTACATTCGAAAGTTACCGTGTGAAGGGTTCTGTCGTTGTCGGTATCTAATAACTATATCCCGGGCACACAATAGCCAAGTTTCGCGAGTCGTGTGGGCTTTTTGATCGGGGGCTTTTAGCAAAATCGGCCGCTCACGCTTACGCTCGTTTTGCTTAGATGCCATTGATAGTTGCTATATGTGATTATTGAAGAAGGCAGGAGAAAAGAGGGAGGAGTAGAACTAATGATGGATCATCATTCCGCAAAAACCTGCAAGCAAATCTCGCGAGTATCTACTTCCAGATCCGTCGATGTAGTGAGGTTGCACTCGCTAGCGAGGGATCAAAAGTTGGATTGATAACCTAAACAGGATGTGGGGCTTGGCGCAAGTGAACACTTGCTGATAAAATTGCATTAAGAAAGTAAATCAGTAAAAGGGACAAGGCTTAGCACAGCCTATAATCTGGCCGCAGAGAGTCAAATGAGGTACGTAGGGGATATTTATATCCAAATCAAAATATTAATTTTGTATTTTATCGTCTAAATATATACAACGATGGCGGAGCACCCAGAAAAAGACGGAGATACACATAGTCAGAAATAGAGTGGAAAGTAAAAACAAGGGAAGTTATAGAAGACGTGCGCTGGGTGAGGAATGACTCCTAGCGTAGCGTAGAACAAAAACACATGAGAAGGCAATTGTATCTATACACATCGTGAAATCGTAATGACGGCTTCTCCAAAAAGAAAGAAAGAAAGAATGAATGAATGAATGAAGGTTATAATGAAGAAAAAGAAGATATGTGAATTTGGAAGGAAGAGAAAATAGAGCTATGCAAATATTCAATTGCAGACTGGGAATTGGCAGGGACTGATCTGAAGGGAATGGGGAGGAAAATGTTAAAGAAAAAGAGCGTCATCTGAGGAGAGAGGGAAAGCCGGAAGATGAACTACACGAATAACATACACATCGAGTATTAGTAATTAAAACTGGGCTTTTTGGAGAACTTGTTGCTCGCTTCGTATGCAAATGCTGTCTTGAAAACTGTCTTGAAACTTGTGTCCATGCTCTGAAGTGCTTAACTAAGCGCCAAGGAAATGCACTACCAATATAAGAATGTTGGGGGGAAAGGAGAAACAACACCAATTTGAGTGATAACGACAGTTCAAGATAGTTCAATGAAGAGAAATGGAATACTTTTCTTTCTCTTCTCACTGTGGGCATCAGCGTATTTTTATAGGATAAAGAAATTGAGGCGCACTGGCCAGAAAATAATATTTCAAAGAGGGTAAGGGAGTGCGAAAGCAAAGATAGAAGAAAGCGGAAGGGGGTTGGGTATCATCTCATCTAAATGTATGCTTTTTTAGGCTTTTCCAAGCAGTGGATCGCGGGCTATTCGCTTGCGCACTAGAGGGGGGTTCATTGGATCCAGCTTGGAGGTTCCCTTTACCGGACAACAACAGAGAAAGTCGGCCTTTATCCTCCCTTATTGCCTTCCTCCGCGCGGCTCGCAGTTCCTCGACACGGGCTTGGGAGAGCCTGAACCGACGCGCAAAAGAATCGTCCGCGACTGAACTCGCATCTAAAAGTTTTTTCGGTGCTGATTGCACGATTTGAAAAATTTCCATAGGATCATTGACAGCAAGTATTTCCTTTTCACTGCTTTTGAAGATCGCGAGAGCAACTCTAAAGAAAGTTCTAGACCCTTCGTAGAAGAAAATATCCCACACGCGCAGCGTGGTTTCAAGTGGCAGGCTACCGATAAACATAGACATCAACCAATTTGTTAGACCAAGCGTAATGTCGGGTAGTCGTGTTTTCGTGTTGATCGGTGGAGGCTTGATTTTGCCAGTTGTTGGGGTTGTACTGGCAACTTTTGTGTAAATTGCAGGCAATGAATCTTTTAATGTTACCATAAGGATCCAAAGGTCGATATTTGCACCCTCAAGACTAATTTCATGAGTTCCCGGCAAATAGGTCGAGGTAATGATGTCAAGCATCCAAAATGCTTTCTCCTCGGGAAGAAAGAGAAGAAGCATTCCTGCGATGAAGTTAAGCGACTGAGTGTAACCGATCTTGGGATTATGTGCCGCAAATGCATATAATACACGACGCAGCGACTGGATAATTTCCGCCTCAGGTGCTTTGGAGAGATATTTTGGGTTACTGCTTCCGCTTTCAGGGGACAAGTCTGACTCTGCGCCGGGTATAGAATCCGGTTTGAAGTGAATGTTATCCGGGAATGTCCTGTGGAGATCCCGCTCGATATGCTCCTTGTCATCATCTGAAGGTCCGTTAATAGCGGCCTTGACCAATTGGCTATACCTACCAGGATTTTTGTGGTATCGGCCGTAGCCTCCTGCATAGTGAAACCAAGCAGCCCCGCGGTACTCAGGGGGTATACCTTTCCTGACATAGCGCTTGACCTTCGGAGATCTCGGGGGAAAAGCGACAGGATTAACAGAAGGCAGATCGACCTCTTTTAACAGTTCCTCCCACTTCTGCTTCCTGGTCTCCTGATAAGCCACATAAGAACGGTTCCAAGCCTCGTAGTCGCTCGTTGAAATGTGAGAGAATGTCCTCTGAAAACCATATTGATCACGCAGAGCGTTGGCATGTGAGCGTGGTGGTGGCACGATACCAGGAAGCGCAGGAGGAATTATAAGTTTTTTGTGTTTATATCGGTAAGTGGAGTTCTTTGATTTTCCTTCAACTGCGAAAGGGATTACTACATCCGTCATGTCACTATTTATAGCCTCTTGGAGCTCTTCGGATCTTAGTTTTTGGTCATCTTGGGACTCTACATATCCCTGCCCGTTGTCAGCTTGAATCGCTACGGATCCCTGATACCCCTCGCCTTGCAATTCGAGCTCTGGGGCCTCAATTATTGATGACTCGAGCTTGGGTGTCGGGACAGGCGGCAACGGGGGGTCATCCGTAAAACCATCCAGGTACATTGATATGGCATCGTCAACGCTCATTCCTCCATCCATATCTAATTCATCAGGCGACAAATCAGTCACTGAACTGTTTTTCGTGACAATACTGCTTCTTTCGGTGCTACTAGTTGGATCTAAACTCGATGATGTCAAAGCAGACTGGGAACTGGACCGCACCTCGCAGTCAATGTGCAACTCTGGTGAATGATAATGGTGTGGGAAACGGGGCAATGCCGGACTGGAACTAGAAGAGAGCTGATCTAGTCGGAATTGCGAATGTTGTCTTGTACGCATATCAATTGTGGACGCAGAGGGTTTGAGACCGATGCGAGGGTTCCTGCTTTGTCGGGTCTGCCTCCTTTCCGTCTCGGTCGGGGAATGCCATGACGACTGGTTGTCTGGTTCGGTAGAATTGGGGAATGTAGGTGATCGATACATTTGAGGCACATAGGGGAAATTAGGTTGTGTTGGTGAGGCTTTGGGAATCGTAGGCTGGTATGCAGGAGGTCTGCCAGGCCGATAGGCACGGTAGGGACTTGGGGGCCCAGCAGTTCGGGGCGTGGTGGAAGACGCAGTAATTGCCAATGGGTGCGGAATGGCGTCTAGATTGTTTTCAGGTCTCTTGACATTGCTTCTGCTATCGGGAGGATGATACCTGGCATCTCCATTTTGTGTGACCATTGCCACAAAAGAAGTGGATGTTCGTGCTGGACATTGGTTTTGAGCGTCAATTGACTCTTACCCTAGCTTACCCCCCGCTACAGCAACCAAAAATATTGCAATTAGGGTCGGCCAAAGCATGGACTCATAGAAAAAGGGTTATAAATGAGCGTGGGAAAGATCAGAAATCGAAGAAGCTGCGCAGACGTTGCTGTCTTGGTGCTTGGTTCTGAAAAGTGGGCAAACGGGCTAAAAGAATGGAAAGGCAGCGGGAAGGATCCAGCGGACGGATCCTGCGTTGCAACGCTCGCGATCGAGGTTCTCAGGACCAGCCAGAGTGCAATGGAAATAGAGCACTTGTCCCATCAACCCAAGAGTCTCGGAATAGCAGAGGAAATCGGGGAATTGAGGAGGTGGATGGACGCCTTCTCGAAGGGCGGTCGTTGAGGAAGGCGGAGTTTTGTTTGAATCACTGCAGAGCTAGGCCTCGGTTGCCAAGACACTGGGTTGAGCCTCTTCGGCTATTTTCCTCCACTAAGAGTCTGATGTTGTAACTCCTTCCACTCGACCTCATCTTAACCCGTATAAAGAATCTTTTGAATTTTCCATTGAAATTTAAAAGATACGGATCAGGAGGCTTCAGAGCCACCGACGCCATCATTGATGTTTTTGCTGGCTTTTTGTGAGTATTTTGACGCTCACGCTTTTTAATTGGACTACCGCCGTGAATGTGCCAGTCATGACCTTGATATAACCGCTGCAAATACATCACTCAGAGACCAACCCGTTTTTAATTTTTTTTTTTTTTTTTAATAATAATAATATTATTATTATTTAACTAACGTTAGCCAAAATATAAAACAAGTTAGAAATAAAAACGCCTCAAAAACCATGCTAACTACATATCTTAATACCAACCAATCTGAATTTATCCTTCACTGACATACGATTTTAAACAGATTTATAATTCAACGCCTTTACTGTTTGTGACAAGTCTCAACGCATTGAATTGGCATGCATCCTGCCCCTTTCATCGCCCATCCAAGCAATGCTTGATTGACGCTTTGGGGGAACATCCATTCATCGCCGAATCTCTACCTCGAGTTCTTCCGCCTCAAACAACGACTGTTTGGGCATGCTGCTGTGAGCTGAGGTATGCTGAGAGGAGGGGTTTAAAAAAAAAAGGACAAATAAAGTTTGGAGTGTCCCATTTCAAATTATGCAAAATCTGCCGGCGACATGCATGACTTTTCAGCTTGCACGCAAATTGGATTCCGTTTTCGGATCTTTCGACCCAACGAGAAAAGAGCGCCTAATCCATCCAAGTAAGGTTTGTATGTAATGCACAGCAGCTATATTCAACTCGGAGTTTTCTACTTTTATTAGTTAACTTATTCAGGAACGTTACATTATTCCACTTAAGCATTTCAAACATCGAGCAACCTCCGTTAATTATAGAAGGAAGTAAACGTAATTAAAGCTTTAAGAGATAGAGGTATACCTCTCAGTTAATCTTCAGAGAGTGACACTATGAGGGATAAATACTGATCTCTAGATCGTCACTTTATATGAAGATATGGGTGCATCTCAAATTTATCACTTTTTCAAAGACTCATTTGTCACACATCACGATGCAGAGGTTTCAGGGGTGATTGTCATCCTGCATTTCATTCACAACCAACTATGCCAGTATACACTGCTGTGCAATCCTTAACATATACTCTTCTAAATCCACTAATTCATTGATATGTCTTCTGTTTTGGAAGGCTAATCACTTCCATCACTGCCACTCTGTCCCCTGAGTTGGCTTTGTCTATCTGATGCACATCTCTGGCCTTGGCTTTTGCTTTTTGGTTGATCATCAGCAATTTCATTGTCCCAAACCAGCACGACATTGGAATGAATGTTTCCAGATTTCTTTCTAGAATTTTGAGAGTTTACCCGCAGCGTTAATTGGTCATTAAATTCTTGGTTTGTCTTTCAATGACTTGATCCAGCGATTTCTTTAATACTTGGCCCATGGGTCAATCGCAAGATACTTGTCTCTGCGCTGTTGCTTGCACCTTAAAAAGTTTTAATCTATACATAGCCTTTCATGTCAGCAATTGCTGTTGCGTTTTCACTCCTATTCTTATATACGATATGTCCTTCTATGAATTTCAGTTCATGCATAACTGGGAATTTTGTCTATCCATGCGTGCTACGCAATATATTTGACTTTTCCAGGGTTGGCCCCGCAGCTACACGCCGTTCAGGAACGCCATGGGAAGTAAAATATTGAGATCCTCTTCTCATCATCCGGTACCTGATACCAGCTGGGCAGATGTATGTTCAAACGCTTCCTGTATGGCATCTAGGCAGGAATCCCCGGTTAAAAACCATTTCCTCTCACTATACTTCGAGCATATCTTACTTATTTTTGGTATAGGGACTTCGCGGCATCGCATCGATATATGTAGTTGCAAGTCATATCACACTGTGTTTTGCGCGGAGTCTCATTCCGCCATCCAAGGGACAAGACGGCCCGGCCACCCTGTTTCAACGCCCATTCTTTCGTTTGATTGCTCAGGGAAATGCATTTGTCTCGATATTCTTCGTGCTGTTGGGCTTTTGTAATTCTCTTCGGGCTCTCCAGCTATCGCGGGCTGGCTGTATTCACGATGCCCTATCTACACTTTCCACGAGCTCTCTGCGAAGACCCAGCAGACTGGTGATTCCCGCCGCGGTCGTGACGGTCGGATCATGGCTACTCTGTCAGTTGAACTTCTACTACTTGGCACAAAGATCTGATGCCTTTTGGCTGCAGACTACAACTCCGGTTCCAAGTGCTTCATGGCGCCAGGCCGTAGCGGACCTGGTTAAAGAGTTGATATCCACATGGGTACATGGAGAGAATTGGTATGACCAGCCGCAGTGGGCACTCCTGCATCTCTTCAGGGGTTCAATGGTAATTTTCACTGTATTGCTGGCCACTGTAAACACCACGATCCCGTTCCGGATAACTGCAGAACTGTTGTTATACCTCTGGAGCTGGGTTTCAAATGATAGTATGTAATCTCAGCTTTGGGATACCACCAATTCCACACATTCAACTTCTCCACCCAACGCTATCCTTTCCTGTTACCTGCGTCCTCCTTACACTTAACATTATGTATAGGCATTGTCTTGATAAACGTCTTCGCCGGCATGATCCTAGCCGAGCTGTCCTTCCACACCCTACCACATCTAACATATAAATCAGCAAACATTCTCCCTTACCCCTTTGCAATTCTCGGCCTCTACTTGTGCTCCTACCCAGATCAGTATGCTGAACAAGCCCGTTGGTCACGGCAGCTCATGCATCTAGGCATGCGCATATTTCCACCAGGGGCGTCCTTCGGCCGCTTCTGGTCTGGTTTGGGAGCCCAACTACTCTGCCTCGCCATCGTCTGTTCACCCGCCATGCGCGGAGCACTATCAAGACCCTATCTCCTCTGGCTGGGCAGACTGAGCTACCCAATTTACCTCCTACACGGCACGCTTATCCGAACCTGTCTCACTTGGCTAACTTTCGGGCCATCGGTGTTGATGTGGACTTCGAATGGGGAGAGTTATCAAGATGGGATGTTAGATGCGCCGCCCCTTATCCCCGAGCCAACGAAGGGTATACTGGTAGTTGCACTACCTGTATTTTTTGCCGTGTTGTTGGCAATCGCTAATGCGTGGGCTGTGAAAGTTGAGCCGGTTTTTGAACGTCTGGCAGCGGCCTTTGAGAGGTTTGCTCGAACATGGGGCAAGGGCTCGAAGGTGTATCATGATGAGCTACCCAGCAAACTGAACGGAAAGGCTATTCTTCCAACATTTGCTAATGAATGATTTCTGGGAGTGTCAGCATGATATCGTGCCTGTTGAAAGCGAATACCCTTGGCTGTATCGATTCCAATACAGGAATAAGTCATTTTATGACATCGTTGAATTCTCTTTTAGAACTCATTACACTTGCGCTTTTGGCTGCTTAATCTGCGTGTGCAGGCGTAGCGGTGCATATTACCTCTCCTGGTTGTTTTACCTACGTTCAATTATATCTTTTCTCTCTCTTTTTGGTTTTGTAAAATTAGAGACTTTGATAGCTTCTTCAGTTTCTTACGAAGACGTTCCCCATATCCCGTGCCATTCTTGAAGGAAAGGCTTCCAGCTATACTACAAAACTACCTACTCATCCACTGAAGAAAACTTTCCTGTTCCAATCTGCCTTCAATTCTGCACCTATCCTATTAACTACCTTGGAAACCAGACATGCGCTCACTTTGAACTCTCATAGCTCAGTCCATCACAGCCTCCCACTGCTGCAACTTACACCAGCATCTGTGACATGAAGAGACGATAATAAACGAGTCGGGTTAACTCTGCTGAGCACCCAAGGCATAACTTTTTTATGGTTTATCTATTGGAATCCTAGATCACAAATGGGAACAAAACGCCAACACACCAGAAGTTCCATAAATGCAACTGCCAAAAGATGAACGAGAATATGCTTTGTAAACTTAACATGCAAAGCCCACCTGGAGGAGGATGCAATCGTGATAAGCCTCTCCGGATTTTATGGATGAGATGCACAGAAAACCCGAAGACCCGGGCCATGATTTCCACCATTGAAAACCCTTCATAAAATAACACAGGTCACATAGAGTGTATTGTATTAGGAATCCGTAACAGCCATTACGGACCAACCCACCCAACCAGCCAATAAATTCTTCCTCGCAAGAAGGCGCCCCATTTCCCCTTTGAAGGCACTCAGAGTAATATAGCTAACCCATCCTGCTTTTCCCAAAACACCATTCCACATACATTTTTCATCCATTAATCGGCCCCACCCATGGCATACTTCCTCGTCCAGTCCCGAGCAATCTCGTTATACCTCTTTCGATCATCGCGATACTGTTCTGCAATTCGGGCTTCAACAGCATCATCTGGCATCGGCTCAACAAGCAACTGTCTCGCAAATTCCAGGACCGCAGAGATCCGCGAAGAAGGTTTCCACTCGTCAGATTTGAGCATCCCGAGACACATGCTCCCTTTGTCGTCGTTGGTGACGTTTGGATGGTAGATTTTGGTACCAAAGGAGACGGTCGGGGGTTTGAAGGGATAATCGGTCGGGAGAGAGAGGTTTATGGTGAATTTGCCGCCCTATGCGGAGAGAGAAAACAAGTTAGCTGAGGCTATTTCTTTGATATAGTTATTTATTTATTTTACGGAGAAAATGGGAAATGTCGCGAGTTCAGGTTTTGGGTTTGGCCGTGGGGACCAGACTTTGTACGGGGAGGCTTCGGGGCCCTGCATGGACACTTTCCAGTTGTAGAGGTCCGAGTCATTCGCAAGGTTGACAGATATACCCGCTGGAGGCGATTCCATTAGCTCATTGAGCTCCTATATATGTGATTTTGAACGTAAGCATATACTCACCGGAC